CACGGTCTTTGTCCCATGGCCGTGATGCCCTTTCTGGTTCATCATTTCTTTGAGACAACGCTCGGCATGCTATAAAGCCTCCAACTCCAGTAGGAATGACGGCAGCCTCTGTCCCCCCAGCTACCATGATATCTGCTTCTCCTCTTCTAATGTGATTGGCAGCTGCATAGAAGCAGTAATTTGCAGTAGCACAAGCTGTCGAAATGGAGTAATTAGGCCCCATTAAGCCGGTATCTATAGCCAGTAATGCAGACCCCATGTTAGTGATCGAATACGGTATGAAAAATGGAGTTATTTTCTTGTATCCCTTTTGAATAAGAGCTTCCACTCCATTGCTGAAAGCTGTTATGCCTCCCATGCCTGATCCGACCAAAACTCCTATTCTTGTACGGTCCATCTGCAACATACAAGAGAACAATGCGTTATATGTTTGATTATCTTGAGGCACCTCATCTAAAAGCTTAAGTTATTAGAAATGAGATAATTTAAATGAATAAAATTTAGTCTTCAATGATGGATTCATATTTTGAATCGAAGGCCGGGTATATGTGCACAATTTTCATGGACGGTTGGAGGCGAGACTTAAACGCAGGCCTTTTGCCTGGTTGATACCATGTTGCACCATCTCATTTATAAGCTTAAGGTGTTAGAGAAGAGACGTGTATCTATTAAATTTAGCCTTCAATAGATTCTTTAATCGAAAAGAATATCATTTTTGAGCATGCAAAAGGCTCACAGATTCAAGAACTTCTTGTCCGAGGCTGGCATCTTCTAAGGCCATCTTCCCAGCAACCAAACAGTATCTCCAGCAGTCGTCTAGCCGGCGATCATTTTTCCCATCAATGTAGCCCTTGGAAGAGAAATTTCGAATTTGACCTGCAAACCTTACAGAAAATTCTGAAGCATCGAATCGGTCTATTGGTGAGATTCCACTCACGCCCTCAAGAAGTTTGTTATAAAACGTGTCAATGTCGCTGCCGAAAACGGAAACAAGGCCCATTCCTGTTATGACAATCCTCTTCTTGGGATCCTTTTCTCGCTTGGGAGCTGAAACTGTGGGAGAAACCATGGCCTTAATTCTTCCACATTTTGCTGCTAAGAATGGACAATTTATTGAGAGAACAAATATCGACACAAGAGTTTAGCGAGATAAATATAAACTTTAAATCGTATATTAGCATATATTTCCCCATAATATTTGGACAGAAATAAAAAGATTTGGAATTCCTAAAACTGAAAGCCACCATATTAAGACCAATAAGCAGTTTCCCCCGAGAAGAATCACACTGTGTCATGGATTAAGCCTTAATCCCTACTTCCGGGAGCAATGACAAACAATAAGGAACTCAGAAAAAAGGGCAGAGCACGTACCCTCAATGTGATAACTACGTGTCGTTCCAGGTTTCAACCATAATCAAGAAGATGAATATAAGTTTTCCTCACACCTCTCTTGCACACAAAAAACGACTCCGTAATATGTTTACACTACGATTAGGCTCCACAGAGTGCCACAAATGGGAAAATTTGAATGTAGAAGAAGTTCAAAGATTTAGCTGAAGTCCTCAGAAGCATGTCATTGAGAAACAGAATTGCAAGTTCAAATCTTGTAATCATCTGTTTTTCAGTCCCAGACTCCCAGCTGTATTAATTTGGAAGAAGCAGTACAATAGGAAAACACAATCAACTCCTCAATAACTAGGTTGAAAGAACTTGAAAACCATGTTTTCCCTTGTGAGGTGACCGAGAAAGAGATCGATAAGATAAAAACTACAAAGAATTTGAAATCAAAGATTGCCTTTGGACTGTGTCATTCAAAGTATGATTAGGTTCAATGCAACAATTACATTTAGCATTATTCATTATAGTACGCAATCAAACTATTATGAAAACAATATCTGGAAAATATAATGAAGAGAAAGGATGATCAAACATACCCAAAGTCGAAATGGTGTCTTTTGAATCACTCCTAATTGCACCCAATTGTATGCTTTCAATTGCTCTAAGCCCATTATACTGAAACAATGAAACACCATTTCTTTCTGATTCTCTACTCTTGAAGACCAAACCACAAGTTGAGGCGCAAGCAAAACCAGCCATATTTCTAAATTAAACCAAACCCTTTTCCTTTGCACAATTCAATAGTTATATATATATAAAAAAAGAAATACAAAGTGGAAGGAGTTAACAAAGAAAATTTCTTGTTATGGGCAATAAATTGAGTTGGATAATCCGCCCAACTATTTCTGTATGTACTCAACAAAGAACAAATGAGACGATGACTGCAATTTACTATCAGGAATCTACAAATAAGAGAAGGTGATTCAAACTTATTAATTAACAGCCTAACTACTCTAAACAACCATTTGGAATTTTAGAGTTAAAGAGAAGCATTTATGTGTTTTCGTGTTGATATGAATTTTGATCCAACTACTGAACTGTACACTACACGTTGTGTACTTGTGTATGCTTTATTCACGACAAATTTCACATTTTTTATTACACATTTTTTAATAAAATAATTTTGCACGTAAATTCATAGTTTTCTCTATATTTTAACCACGCAATCTCCAAAAATAACATTTTTCCACAAAATCTATTCTCAAAAAATCTACATCAAACATGTTCTAATTATTTCAAATTTAATATGTTAATCTTTTTGAGGCAAAACACGTTAAACCTCGTTTGGTAATGCTCCTAGCATAGGCCGCCAATTAGCAAGCATCATCAAACCCACATTTCACCTCACCATCTTACTGGCCTAGTCAAAGCTAAGGTGGCTAAAGTGATGCATTATCTCAGTCGATGTGTCATGTAGAGGTCATCCATCCATAACTCATGTGAAGTGCTATAACCTCCTGCAAAGTAAATTCAAGACAGTTGGCCTCTTAATGAGAGAATACATCTCCCAGTCCATCTATTTCAAGAGATCTTTTTATAATTGATTGATGTGACATCTCTGCTACAAGAAGTCTCACAATCAACTAGTTGGTTAGACCTAGATTATAAAGTGACTACTTTTCAAATACATTAAATGTTCCTTAATGATCTTAACTACCTCACTGTAGATTCTCTTCTAAGGAGCTGGTTATCCTTTACAGTGCATAGAAAAGTAGGTTGTCATAGACAATCTAAACTTCAACAACTGTTAGAAAACTGTTTTAATATGTTGTAAAAGAGTTTTTTTAAAAGTCAAAGGGTCAAGTAGTAAGTTATAAATCCTAGGATTCGAGTATGGAACAAAGGAGTAAACGTCGCCGTAATTTAGCTAGTCTATTGTCCAGTTGTTGCTCAAGCGGTAAAAACAGAAGCTGTGTCGCCTGGTTGTCATATGGAGTCGCTCACCTATTGCCGAGCTCTCGCTCGAGCTATAGTGTTTTCCTGAAAAAACTAATACGCATTTTTCAAGGCTTTTATTCGGCTCATATTACCCAAAACTTCTTTTCTATATACATGGACGGCACTCATACGAAAATTATAGGTTAAACATTGAGAGAAACATTTTTTGCATCCTCTATATCATTCCATATCATTATTGGAGTTCACCCATCATTTTGCTTTGATCATTGCTTTGAAAAATATCATTCTCACTTAAACCAAATACCAAAACACATATTTCCACAACATCTATTAGAGGTCTAAAGATCAAGGAAGGTGATCAGAGTTTCTAGTTGTTAGAGAACGAGAAGTTCTCATTAATCCATAGGAGATAGACGAATTCAAAATGTCCGCGATTGCTGCATGAGCACGCAATCCAGTAGGGCTTTAATGATTACAGTCATGAGGTTAGAAAGCATTATATTTAGTCGAGTCGATAGTATTGTAAGTTATTCGTTTATAGTGGAGGTAACGGCCTGGTCCCGAAGATTTTAACCAGTTGGATTTCTCTATCATCAATATTGGTGTTATATATTGTTTTCTTATAGAAACTGTGGTAATTCAATTTAGAATAATTGGACTGCTTATTTAATCATCTAGAAACAATTAAAAAGTAACTTGTTGCTTTTAATTGTATAATTTCGCATGTAAGGTCGAACCTCGTTATCTTAGTATCAAGTCATCCCCTTTTACTAAAAAAGTTCACACTTAATTCCATTTGAATGTAATGCAATTTTAGAGACTATTAGTAATATTGTTCTTATATTTGTTCTCTTTATTACCCTAATGCCCATAAACTGTTGTGGCTTACATCTTCCATCAATTCCACAATTAAATATACTTATACAAGTTGGACAATTTGAATGTCAAGTGCTCGTTACTGCCTCTTCCACCTTTAAAGAGAGCCACATGCTTCAATTATTTGTCCAAATGTGCATGAGATATACCAAGTGGACATGAGTGAAGTCAAGATATATTCGTCACACCATCCATGCAGAAATTGAGCTCAATAAACGTAATTCCCTAAAAATGGTATAAAAGGTAGATCCTGGCAATATGGTTACACTAGACAGATCTCCAATAAGAGTTAGCTCAACTACAATGCACCTAATGCCCCAAAATTTTAGAATTTATGGTATTTTTACATTTTGCCTCCGTTTAAATGAAGAACGATTTATGGGAAATTTACACAGAAGTCTTTTTTTAAAGTTTACATTTCAATGATCAGGTGGGATGAATTTTGCCTCCGTTTGTTTCTCATCTTTCATCCATAAAAATGAAAAATATGACAGTTATCCATCACATCCGCCATCAATTTTGAATTTCTATCTTTTGTGTGGGGCCCAATAACAACTATATTTTCATTTTCATTCTACAATAATGAGAATCAAACGGGCCATTTATTTAAAAAATCAAGTGCCAACTTACCCCACTTCATTCCACACCCACTACTATCCCCATTTTCACCCATAACCCTAACTTAACACCGCCCCCCACACACCCTTTTTTCAACCACATGAATTGTCGACCGCCGACCACCACTTCACTAGTCAATTGGCGATGGAAATGTGAGAAGCATCAACATTTGGGCGAGAGACAACTGCCACTCCATTAATCGATTAGCGATGGTGCGAGAAGCAACGATATTTGGGCGAGCGAAAGCGAGCGATTTTCAACCATCTGGGTCGTATGATCTACAATGTTCTATGTCTAGAATGATGGTTTGTGCGATCTGTAACGAAGAAGAGGTGGAGGTGGCGATTGTGGTTGTGGTTGTGGTGTGGTACAGGTAGAGGAGATGGTGGTTCTGCGAATGAGATATAGAGGTGGATGTGAAGGTAGTGATTGTATAGTAAAGGTGGAAGAGATGGTTGATTTGAGGTGGTGGTGGAGGTGAAGATGATGATTGCTTTTAGGAGGTAGTGGTCGTGGTTGTTGGTGCAGGCGATGGTTGGGTGGCGATGAGATGACGCAGCGCGTCGATGGTTGTGGATTGGAGTAGTGTCGGATGAAGTCGCTTGTGACCAATAAAATGGGTCATTTGTGATTTATAAAAATTGTGACCAATAAAAATGTATGATTTGTGATTAAATTTGTAATTATGAAATACATTTGTCTTTGTAACTTTGACGTTGTGTGATTTGTGACCAGTATATAATTGTGAACATAATCGTATGTTATCATGACCTTATCCTATTTAATTAATAAACAAAATTTTTTATCAGACCACCTTTTTCTGAAAGAATTTTAAAAATTTATTAGATTTGAAAGTGTATCTTGAAACTATGGTAATTATGTTTTTTTGCTAATTATGTTAACCAAAATTCCACAATAAAACACATCCCAACTCTCTTTATTTTTTTTTCCTAACTTGAAAATCTGATAAGATTTAAAGGTAATTACAATTTAAGCAATAAATCAAAGAAAGAAAATAGAAATTGGAGTAGATCTTTAGCCCCTATTTGAGTTCCATTTTTGGGCCAAAATATATTTTTTGAATAGTAATTTGTTGAAAAAGCATGGCGGCTCGGGCTTGGCTCCAAAAAAGCTCGACCGGGTCCCGTTGGGGCTCAAGCAGAGCCTCATTTTTTTGGGCGCACCGAAAATGTTCGCAATTCTATCACCAAGCTAGAAAATAAATATCTAAAGCCCCCATTTAATGTCCATTGTTTTAAAACTCCTTTTAATATAAAATTATTTTCAACCACACATTCACATAATAAAATGTTTTACATATGGAGTACAAATATTGTGTCCACTCTAATGAAGCATATGTTTTACATATGGAAAGCTGCACTATTGAAGCTGTGTGACTCTTGGGATGTGGAGTACAAATATTGTGTCCACTCTAGTGGTTGGCTGATCTTCAAATTCAAGACTGATGTGGAAAGGAGAATTGTGTTACAGGGTGGGCCCTATTTGGTTTTTGGGAGGCCATTGCTACTTAAATCAATGCCTAAACTCTTTCAATTTGATGACAAGGAGGTGTCTAAGATGCCGGTGTGGATCAACCTTCCGGGACTACCACTGGAACTATGGAACAGAAACCTGCTGGGAAAAATTGTGTCTAGAGTAGGGGAGCCAATTTCTATTGACAAAATCACTGCTGCTCGAGATAGAATTTCTTTTGCAAGAGCACTTGTAGAAGTGGATGCATCACGGGAATTAGTGAGAACAGTCAAAATAAATCTCCCTAATTGACAATCTAGACTACAAGAAATCCTATTTGAGCATGAGCCCAAATTTTGCAACAATTGCAAAATTTTTGGACATACCACTAGCGGATGCAAGCATAACAAATCCAAAGAAGTGGAGTCAGGGGATACTACCAAACATAGGAATCCCACAGCTCAACCTGGACAAACTACTGGGGACACAGAGGAGAATGTGACTGAACAAGATAATGTGTTGAATACCAAAGATGGGAAGAATCATGGTCAGTTACCTCCTAACAAGGCAGCCCCTGGAGGGGCTAGTAAACTTGATGGAAAATCAGAAAATGATCAGGCACTATCCACAAAAGAGCTGGACAGTCACAAAACTAAAGGTTGTGGCCAAAATACCAGTACACTGGTGGAAGAGGCAGACTATAGTCAGGATGCACCTCCTACAAATCTGGACAGTAACAAACAGAAAACAAAAGGCTGTGAACTGAGTGCTACTGCAAGCTCATCTCAGGCTGCAGATTTGGCACAGGAATATGAAGAACAAGGGAATAACAATGCAGGGACCATTCTACAAAATGATGGAGATGGAAAGTTCACTGAAGTTGGGAATAAAAAGAAGGTGTCAAAAAAAAAGAATAATTCATTGGGGACTAAAGAGGGGAAGACTTCCTCAAACCATGGGGCTTCTAACACTTTTAAAAAAGAGGTGAAGAGGGGAAACTCTCTTACTATCTCATCATGAAGATAGCATCATGGAATATTAGGGGAATGAACTCTCCCCTCAAGCAAAATGGGGTTCGAAGTGTCATGGTTCAAAATGATATTGACGTTATGGGGATTTTGGAGACTAAGCTTGACCTACAAAAGCTTCAACGAGTAATGAGGAATAAATTTGGGGGTTTTGATGAGATCAACAATTTTCTATCTCACTGAGCAGGCCGTATTTTGATTTTATGGAACCGTGGGAAAGTTCATGTGGAAGCAAAGGAGATCACTCCTCAATGTATACATTGTTCTGTCACTTGCAAGGTTAGTTCGATTATTACCTATGTTAGTTTTGTTTATGGTTTTCATACTATTGTAAACCGTAGACCCCTATGGAACAACATTCTGGAGTTTGGTTCCACTTGCAATATCCCGTGGTTGATTTTGGGGGATTTCAATAGTGTGCTCAATTCCCATGATAGAAGTAATGGGGTGGACATTACACCGTATGAAGTAAGGGACTTGTCCAACATGTGTCTAAACCTTGGACTAACGGATGTAAGATCTATTGGGTGCTTTTATACATGGACCAATAATTCTGTGTGGAGCAAAATTGATAGGGCGATGGTGAATGATGCTTGGATACAGTCGGGGTTCAATAGTGTTGCTAACTACCTTCCATCGGGGTGTCTCTCGGATCACTCACCTTGTGTTGTGTCGCTTGTTGGGCTTGAGAGTAGTAAGAGGAAACCATTTAGATTCTTCAATATGTGGACCAATCATGAGAGCTTCCATGAGATAGTTCA